GAACCGAGAGAATTAACCTTGCGACAGAGAATGCTGGGTGTGACGGTGAACGTTCCACCGGATATGATGGCCCGCTAATGCTTCTTCCGCCATTGTCGCGTGCTTCTCTATGACAGCCGGCCACGCTCGCAGGCAGAACGAACCGCGACATGTGTCGATTCGTGCGCTGAATCGCGCGAAATACGCCTCGCCGGCAGAACACAACGCGTTGACAACTGCTCAAACGGCTGGCTTTTGACTAGATGATGGATGTTTTGCGTCTCCTGATTTGACGTAGTTTCGTGTGCTGCGAGAATTTCGCGATGGTTCTTCTATTTCTGCGTAAATTACAGAGGACATGCGATCGACGTACGGGAATCGTTAAGGAAGCAAAAATCCTTTTAAATTTTAACTCTCGCCCATCTCTTGTCATCAATTTCTTTCATTTGCTCATAAGTTATCTTACCTCTCTGTTGTGTTACCTATTTCTCTAATTCCTTTAATAATCTGCGGATTTTTGTGCATTTATGAGAAAACCTAGAATATTCAACAAATGAAACAATCCTCTCACTTACGTTTCTTTAGTTATGTTCGTAAAGATTAAAAAAAATGTAGAAAAATCTATTAATAACAGGACGTAAGAATTGAAAATAATATTCCAGAATACTCTGGAGAGACAGTGCATAATTATTATCATAATTATTATATCATAATTGTGCATTTAAACCATTTCAAAGATGCTTCATTGTTTTCCTTTGGTTCTTGAATGCACGTAGTTGTGACAAATGAACATCCGAAATAAACGAACTTAACACTAGAATTTGAAATTAGAATCTAATTCCTGATTTCTATTAGATGTGGAATCTAAATTCTTTACATTGAATTCTCTAGAACAGTGAATCGGTCCTATTAATTTTATTCTGATACTTCGAGCTATAGTATAATTGAGTAACAATTGAAAATTTGAAACAATAATAATAGAAATGTGAAAATTTATTTTATTTATTATCAATAGAAGAATTCGTGGGAATGTTTGTGTCGTCAGTTTGACACAAAGGGACAAATTCGATGCGATTCCTTTAGAATAAACGCGATGCTGGCATTCGTAACTGGTTAATGCTCGCGTTTATCGGCAATCGGTATTGTTCAGTAACATGCTCCGATTATTTATCCAACGATGAATTTACCCAATCCAAACCAACAAGGAGGACAAACAGCGAAACGCGCAAGCACGAAACTATCAAATGCCATTTAAACGAAATCGATGATGTAATTCGATGTTGTACGAAAGCTCCGAGTCCCGTTTGACCGATTTCATCGGGCAAGAAGGGATTTCAGTGGTTCGCCTACATCTCTACTCGCGGAACACCGACCTCCATTCGAGCGACAATATCAACGTCGACGAGAACCGGCCGAAGGAAGGAAGCGTTAAAGAAAACGGCACGTGAACGACCCTCGTCGAAACAAAGAACGATGTTGACCGTATGTCTGGTCCTATAGAAAAGTTGCAGCCGGGGCTGAAGAGAGGCTTGGCAGACCCAGGGCGAGGTGGTGTGGTGAGGGGTGGGATGTAGGATGGTTGGCAAAGGGGATTCAAGCCTCGGTGTTCGCCTCACGCTTCGGAAAATATAAAGTCGGGGACAGTTCGTCGCTCCGAGCGCTTGAATAACCCGTGAACGGCTTCAATCTTAACTCGAAGATTGCCAGCCCGATGTATTTCCATTCCAATTTCACTCTGTCCCGTAATTGGCGCTAATTTTGTTTTGTTTGCGAGCACTCGGCCAATTTTCTGAGAATAATTCGAGACGTCGCAGACACGGATACTGGCTCTCGCCACGCGAGAATGTTCGAGTGAAAATAACAGTTACAATTATCATTTGACTTTCTTTCTAATCTTGCTTTCGTAAAGTTCAGTCTCATTTACTGATACAAACTGACTAGAATCTCTTCCCAAGCGATTAGTATCTTTCCACGTTTCTCTGTGCAAAAATATCGCAAAGGAAAAACTGATTGTCGCTGTAGCCAACAAGCTCATTGCGTTTTTAACTGACCTTCCTCTCCTGTCGTTATCTTTCACTCTTAATTGTTCTTAAGACCCATTCCCCACGACGTGCTGTTAAAATGTCGTCCATTCGCGATAAATCTTCTGTCATGTTGTTGTTAAAATACCATACTACGTTGGAACCATTAATAATGGTCATTCAACCTTTCATCAGCTTTTCGACAATTAGATGCGCTATATAAATATTTATTTATTTTATAATTAAATTCGATTTAATATTATTAGAATATTACACATGTGGTGTCCTATTTCAGTCTTTTTACTATTGATGAAATTGATTCTGTTTCAATGACCTGGCCATTCGCAATTGCGGAGCATACAGCATAATCATATTGAATATTATTTCCCAAATAATTCGTACATATTGTATCACTATCCTATGAAAATAAATTTATGAAAATAATTTCTTAAATTTCCACAATTTTCACTAAACGATCGTCACGTTTTACAAATTCTCGTCCTTTCATGCAGAGAACTTCAAATTGTAAATTGCTCACATATTGATAAATCATTGGTGGAAATTATATAAATATAACGACGTTGTAGTAATCATTTTTTTCTTTCGTTACGTATGATTACCTGTCGAGAGTATACCTGCTTCATCGTCGAATTTTATGAAAAATTTACGCACGATCCTCGAGTGTAAACGGCAAACGACGTGAAAGCAATTCACTCGAGGGACACTTGAGAACCACCTTGAAATCCACCATTCAGCCTCGAAATATTCATACGAGTCGTCGTATCCTTTTCGAATCCCGTCCGAAAGGTTCGTGGGAGGAAAGGGTCGCTACTTAAGCGCAGCCAGCAATTTAATTTCACCGGAGCAGAGTAGTGGGTGGTACGAGAGTAGGGATTGGACGTGGGCCACCGCATTATTGCACTGGCCGCAACACAATGCACCCGCGGACCGCTTTTTCGACGCAGGCTGCGCGTGCATCAGGGGTATTCGAGGCTAAATCGAGCGTCATCCCCTTTGAGCCAGCTCTCGCGAGAGTTGCGACGCGGTTTATTGGCTGACTGCGTGCCATTAAACGGCACGGAATTCGTTAGAGGAAATCGACATACGACAGCTTTCGAATTAAAAAAGACATCAAACACGATTATGCGTCAGAAAAGAAAGATTAAACGAATGCAGTCGTCCGATTGAGAACCATTTTGCAAGTTGATCCCGGTTGGCAAAGATGCATTGGTGTTCTCTTTTAATCGATATAGTCATATTATTTTTTTTAATTGATATATATATATCTTCATATAAATCAGCGTGACAAAGTATCTTTATCTGTGATAAAAAGAAACACAAGTCCAGATTTGAAACTGCGTGCTTTTAAATACTTTCGAATACTTGCGTTTCATCGAAGAATTTTTGCCACCGGTAGTACGTGGACAGTTGCCATTTTTATGGAATCTAAGATATGTTATTTGTACATGTTTATTGCTAAATTCTTTCACGAATATATATTTTATCTTTCTATGTTACCTGCCAAAATTTATTTCGTCATCGTAGAAAATATTTCAAGACTAAATAAAATTTCGAGAGGGAGATTTTATGATGGCCACCGGATTTGTTGACGCGAAACTGTTTCCGAGATCTTCAATTCTTTAAATCGAATCATATTTATATTATACTCGACGTTCTCTATAAGAAAGTACGAATCTATGTGTAACGAAAAGTTATTGATTTAGACGATGCTTTAATTTTAATTTTGTAAAATCTATCGTATAAAAGACGGGGAAGGACAGTGATATTCTTTTGACGTTTTCGTCTTTTATATGTAAAAATGAACACCTTCTTGAAAAATGAACTCTTTCTCATTCTTTGCTTCTTTGTAAAAGCAGCTTCTTTGTAAATTTTAATATTTATTTATTAATATAAATATATAATATAATAATAAAATATATTTATATTTATATTAATACATAATCAATCCATTGTAATTACTTTCTTCTGGGATATCTTATCTTATAATCAACCAACGTGTTTGTAACGAACTGCAGCTTGTAATTCCGCCCGGTTCTGTGTTTTTCTGTGTTCAAAGTTCCGCTTAAATTCAATTATAAAACCACCGAGCCAGTGACGTTTCTAATTCGGCTGTCTGAATATGTACGGACAGATCTACTTAAACTTGGAGATTTCCAACGGAAGAACACCACAGCCGCGTTAAAGAAAGAAAGAAAGAAAGAAAGAAAGAAAGAAAAAAACGAAAGAAAGAAGAGGAAAAGATACGAGAAACATCGAGAAACAATTCTCCGCGATATTTACTTGCATTCTATCTCGCATTGTTCACATTCTGGTGCATCAGCCATTTTCATTTCCGGCAGATTTTCCTTCCATTACTTTCTCATCGCGTTCGTACAAACTCTTTAACTCGTTTCTGCAGAACTCGGGACGTTCCTTTTCTCCGTTTTCGCCTCTTTCCATCTCTCGCGCCGTATTTCTACCGTTTCTGAAATTATCCCAGGATCTTAATCAAGTAAGTACTCGGTTGCGAGAAGCGAAGTTGCCGAGAGGCGTTTAGCCGGGTTCCCTCTAGCAACGAGTCGAGTTGCATTTCTCATACAAACACAGTTTATTAACGCTGCTTGCATGCATTCCCTTCATTGTACGCCGCATTTCATTT